GTTGGCTGGCTGTGGTTCAGGGTACCCAGTCTCTTGGGTTCTGGGGTTGAAGCTGAGCAGATGTCTCCCACCTGACAGAGGACCCAGAAAGTAGGCACTTAGAGCCAGGCCTGATCCTCTGCTCCATCCCCTTCCCCGCTCAGCCCTGGGTTTTTCTTCTTCTCTGATTTCGTTCAGAGCCCTAAGGAGCTTGGGGCGCAGTCTGTAGCCTCTCCTGCTGCTGACAGAAAGGCAGTCAGTTCGAGTCCACCAGCCACTCGACGTTGAGAAAGATGAGCAGTGTCTTCCTGCAGAGATGTACAGCCTAGGCCACCCGGTGCAGGGTCCCCAGGAGGCCCAGCGGCCAAGGGTACGCTGTGCTGCCGACACAGAACTCGCTGGACGGTCAGCCGTGGGCCAGTGCAGACTCGCTGCTTCACAGCAACAGGAGGCACAGTGGCTTGACACTCAGCCGCTGACCAGAAGGTCAGCAGTTTAGAAGATCCACCAGCCTCTCTGTAGACGGGGCGTCCGCTTCTAGGAAGATTACAGCCTTGTGGGGGCCGGTGGGCCAGTCCCACTCTGTCCTGCAGGGCCACTCTGAGCCAGAACCCAGCTGAGTGGCCACAGTGATGGGTGTGTGGCTTTGTGTGCTCAGAGCTGCGTTAAACCCTTTATGGTCAGGGCCTCATTTATCTCCACAGCAACCATTGGAGAGGACTGCTTCTCATACCCCCAGTTTACACAGGCTTTGGTACCAGTTCCGACCCAGTTCGACGCCCAGCAGCGGTATAACCGTTGGGCAGCTGGCTTCCCCTCCCTGAGCTTCCGTTATAAAATGAAAGTAACCGCGATGCTGATAGTTGTTGACACTGGGTAAACCTCGGTGCCAGGCCTCGTCCCAAGGGCGGGTTAACACTTCCACTCAGGAGTTACTGCTGGGGAGAAAGGTGAGGCCCACTTGGCAAAGGTTAGAGCACTGTCTCAAGGTCTCTAGCTTTGTTACAGCTGGCCTGGCTTCTGGCCCCCAGCCTGTGCTGCTGGTGGCTGGGTAGGAGCAGAGACACAGCTCCTGGGAGGTCAGGACGCAGGTGGGTGTGGGAGTGTTACCTGTCTGTGTCCCCAGAGGCCTGCTCAGGGCCTGGCCGCCTTGACGGGCCCAGACCTTTCCCACGAGCGAGTGAATAACCAGGGGCCCCGGGTCAGCCAAGCAGCGGCCTCCTCTGTTTGTGCCTTCTGGGTTTCAGGTTCAGGGGCAGTCGGCCAAAAGAGGAAGAGGGAGTGCTGGTGGGGGGTGAGGAGGGGGGCTGGCGGAAGGCATTTGGTGGAGGGGCTATCTGAGCACAGGTGGCCATGCCCGGTGGGCTCAGTGGGGGGGTGCTGTGTGAAGGTGACCTAGTTGGTTCTACACACCAGCCTGACCCCAGGCCCCGTCCTCTCCCGCCAGCCCTCCTCCTGCAGTGCTGACCTCTAGGAAAGGCCACTGTGCTCTCCTTTCTCGTCCCCTGCACCCTGCCCAAGGCCATGTGGGGCAGTGGTCAGAGGCATGGGCACCGGGGCTGCACTGCCTGGTTTTGAACCTTGGTCCCTGCCCTTTCAAAGTTGTATGCCTCTGACTCCACTGTGTCCCAGGTATGGTCAGGTCTGGGGGCACCAGCAGGTCATCCACAGGCCATGGCCATGAACTCACCATGCCCACAGCCTGCCTGCAGGCCTGGTGCCCAGTGCCTGGCACTGCCCAGCACCCTCACCCTCATTTTCTGAGAATTCTCCAGCTTGGCTTGAAACAGCTGATGATCCTGAAAAATGCCAGAAAGCCTGGTGGGCCTGCCTCAAATTTATATGAGCTTGAAGCATTTTGTAAACGCCGAAGCTGAAAAGGACAGATGAGCTCAGTTCTGGGAATTCTTAGGCATAAATATGAGAATGGAGGGGGACGTGCTATGAGGTGAATCCAGTTGGACATGTCTGGAAATGTCTGGGGAATACACACACACCTGGCCCTTGGATAAGAGCACCGTCCCCTTATAGAGCCCGGGAGGAACTGGATGTAAGCACCCAGCCACAAACCAGAAGGTTGATGGTTCAGTCCCACCAGCTGCTCTGCTCCATGGCGTCGGGCGCCCCATGGGGAGCTGTGCTCAGCCCGGTGAGGTGACCGTGTCAGTCAAGCTGCCCTGACAGCAGTGGGTTGTTGGGCTAGTAGACCAGCTGGGATGCTTGTGGGACTGCAGAGTAGTTCATGGGTCTGGAGGAAGGCCTGAGGGTCAGCTTCCCTAACCTGTGCCAAAGACCCCTGGTGGCACCATGAGTGCTAATGCAAAAGTCGTTGGTTCAAACCCACCAGTGTCTCCCAGGGAGAAGGACGTGCGAGCCTGCTCTGTCGTACAGGGTCAGACTGACCAACAGCAGTGAGGTTGTGCAGAGACCTGACTCCAGCCCCTTCTGGATGTGTCCTTTCTCTCACCACACCCCTTGTTTTACAGAGAATGCCCGGGAGGGTCTTGGCCAAGGCCCTACAGGGAACAAGGTGGGACTGGAGCCAGAAAGAGAGCTGAGGTGTGGGCCCTGATGCTTTCCCAGTCCAGTCAGACCCCGCTGGCGGGTGGAGACATCAGGTTTAGGGATGAAGTTTCAAAATGGAATAATGGAAGAGTTTATAAGGCTGCCATCTCTACAGAAACAGGCTGCCTCACCTCCTCCCAAGGCGGGGCTGGTGAGGTGCCAGCCACGTGTTTCGAGCACTGTGATGCCCGGGCTGCAGTGATGTCAAAGCCCACTCTGACCAAGGGTTTCCTGTGTGCCACGCGCTGAGCGTTGCATGTAGATGGATTCGTATGATGATTTTCCCAGCATCCTGATAAGGCATGTACCCATTTTACAGATGGGAAAACTGAGGCACAGGAAGCAGCCATGGAACCAGAGTCTCACAGCCTGTAAAGGGCAAAGACGAGGCTTTGAAATCAGGTAGCCTAGCCATCTGCCTGACCACTGCTCCACACTGCCTCTCCAGGCTTTGAGGAGAGTCCAAGGCACGAGAAAGAAGGCTTCCTGAGTTCATACCACCTTCTTTCTCACAGTCAAGTGATACAGGCAGGATTGCTCAGGAACAGGGAGGGCTGGACCCCCTTCCCAGCCTGGCTGTGGGTCAGGCTGATGAGAGAGAGGCCAAGGGGCAATTTTAAGCCCCCGGCTTCTTCTCTCGGTGTGCCAAGCCAGCAGCCAACCCTCAGTAGGGGTTGAGGCTGCCGACTCCTAACCAACACCGCGTGAGTCAGAGTGGAACTCGGTTCCGTGGGATTTTAACAGCTCGTTTCTTGGAAGCAGCTTGGTGGGCCTCTCCGCACATGCACACACTGTGGACCCCAACCTTTGAGGGAGCAGCTGCGTCCAGTAACTCTGGCATGTGCTCATTTACAAAGAGCCTCTGCACACGAGGTTGAGAGCAGCAGTGGGTGGTGGGAGAACTCTCGCCTTCTGAGCCGGAGACACGAGTCTGTGGGTTGGATTGCTAGACAGCCTCTTTCCCGTGCACCCACCATGTGTGTGACATTGAAGGCTTGTTACTCTGATGCCAAGCAGCTTTGAGTAGCCGCACTTCTAGACTGAAGAGACTAGGAAGAAAGGCCTGGCAACCTACCTCTAAAAGTCTGTGCAAACCCTGCAGGTCACAATGATCCCGACTCTGTTTGGCATGGGGTCATCATGATGTGGGGGTGGACACTTGACTATTGCAGCCACAACCATCCTTGATGATACTGTGGCCATCTGCGGCCAAGGCCCTTCCTGGCCCCACTTGAGAGAGACCTGGCGACTTGCCCATCACCCGCTCGTTACTCCCTGCCCCAATCTGAGAAGCTGGCTGCTTTGCCTGGGGGTGTTTTGCAGGGTCCAGGTGAGGAGCAGCGGGTGGTGGACCTGGGGGTGCCCTTGGTGACCCTGGATCTGAGAGTCTCCAGGAAGTGGGAGCAGTGAGTACATCAGCCCAGAGCTGGGAGGAGGCCCCTCGGGGCTTGCTGGCTGCAGCCCTCACCTCCTCTTCTGGGAACCCTCTTGCAGTTCCTTGTCCTATCAGTGCACTGTGTCCTCGAGAAGGACCGGGTCCCCGGTCTGTCCGTGCTCAGGAAGCAGGGTGTCTGGGCTGGCGGGTGTGGTGGCTGGCTCCGAACCCTGGCTGCATGCCGATCGGAGCAGCTTCCATGTGGGAACTGTCCACCTAGTGCTCAGGTCTCTGAACCGATGCCCTATCCCCATTTCACAGGTAGGAAAACGTAGGCTCAGGGACTCAGGTTACATGGTTTCCCTGAGATCAGAAAACCAGAGAGCAAACTCACAGGGGCCAGTCGACCCCTCCTCAGAGCGGCCTGACAGGACAGAGCAGAGCTGCCCTGGAGGGTCTCCACTTGCCCCACCGAGTAGCTTGAGTTTGAACCACCCACCTTTTGGTTAGCAGCTGAGTGCCTTTGCCACAGTGCTACCAGAGCTCCTCTGGTGAGTGGCCGAGCTGTGACCCAGTCCAGGGAGCGTGTGTTCTTTCCCAGCCCCTTCGTCACGTCTAAAACAGGTGCATCTTATTGTTGTTGTTATGTGCCGTCGAGTCGCTTGTGACTCACAACGACCCTGTGTACAACAGCCCTAAACTCTGCTCTGTCCTGTGCCAATCGCTTGTGCCCATTATAAAACCAGACCCGGTGCCATCAGTTTGGACCCCACACCCCCTCCATCAGATCTCTGAGGCCGTAAATCTTCACGGATGGAAACTGCGCATCTTTCTCCTTCCTCGGAGTAACTGGTGCATTAAGCTCTGACCTTGTGATCAGCACTCGGCCACCAGAGCTCCTTGCGCCCACTGTACAGGTGCAGAAACTGAGGCTCTCTGAGTGGGCAGGCGACTCAGCCTCAGGCCCCCCAAGGTGCCCTAGATTGCTAGAGCCACAGCCAGGTTTCCCCCCGGCCCTCGTCCTGCCGCTCGGGGAGCCCTGGCTGCCCTGGCACTAACCCTGCCTGTCCTGGCCCCACAGGTGGCCATGGTGGAGGTGCAGCTGGACAATGACCACGAGTACCCGCCGGGCCTGCTCATCGCCTTCAGCGCCTGCACCACCGTGCTGGTGGCCGTGCACCTGTTTGCCCTCATGATCAGCACCTGCATCCTGCCCAACATCGAGGCCGTGAGCAACGTGCACAACCTCAACTCGGTCAAGGAGTCCCCGCACGAGCGCATGCACCGGCACATCGAGCTGGCCTGGGCCTTCTCCACCGTCATCGGCACGCTGCTCTTCCTCGCCGAGGTCGTGCTGCTCTGCTGGGTCAAGTTCCTGCCACTCAAGAAGCAGGCGGGCCAGCTGCGGCCCACCAGCAAGAGCCCCGCGGCCAGCGGCTCCAACGGCAGCGTGGACGGCATCACGCCGGGCCAGGCGGCCGCCATCGCCTCCACCACCATCATGGTGCCCTTCGGCCTGGTCTTCATCGTCTTCGCCGTCCACTTCTACCGCTCCCTGGTCAGCCACAAGACAGACCGGCAGTTCCAGGAGCTCAATGAGCTGGCCGAGTTCGCCCGCCTGCAGGACCAGCTGGACCACAGAGGGGACCACCCCCTGACGCCTGGCAGCCACTATGCCTGAACCCTCAGGCGCGTCCCAGCTTTGGCCTTAACGTCCCTTCCCCACGGCCTCGTCCTGCCCCAGCCTCCAGGACAGTCTGTCCGTGGGGCCAGGCCTCTGCCAGGTGGGCAGGCAGCAGAGGGGAGGGGTTTTTAAGAGAAACGACTGTACTTTGAAATGTGCCTCTGAGAGAAAAGCCCTTCCTGTTCTTCCAGACCCAGGCTGACCCACTGGACGGCCGCCGGGGCCGCCTTGGGACAGATGTGCCCTTTGTCCCTCTGCCTGTCCTGTGCCAGGGCTACCTGGGTGCTTCTGGCCCTTCATGTCAGCCTCCTGCCCGTTCAGTGTCACGTGTGTGCTGGTGTGTGTGAGAACATGAACGTGAACTTGTAAGGGACGGCTCGTCTGGTGTCTGGATCTTTCTCGGCCAGGCTGCTGCCCTGACTTCATGAGCCCCTCTGTCGAGTTTCTTGAGTATTTTGAGAAACTTGAGACCATCTGAAAAACACAAGAATGGTAAGAGCTGTATCCCTCGAGCTATGTGGCTCTGCTGCTGAGGATAGCCAATCCTTTGGGCCATGGCTCAGCGACCCTGTGTGATAGAGACCTGTCCCAGGCGTCTCTACAGCTGTCAGTTTCTACGGAAGCAGATTGCTACTGCTGCAGCCACTGGTGCAGCCACTGGTGGATTTGAACCCCTGACTTCCACTGACAGCCCAACACTTAACCACTGTGCCACCAGGGCTCCTTTTCAGGCCCACTTCCTTCTAAAATCAGGGATGGTCTCGAGCAGGACCTGAGTTCAGGTCCCAAAGTCTGTAACTTTGACACAGAAACGGTGATGTAATTATCCCTGCTCAAAAGTCCCATTCATCCTCATGGGCTCCTTCCCACCCGTCATTCCCAGTCCCCTGGTCAGACATCACGAGTCATCCTTTAATCCAGAAAGTTCCTCACTTCATCTCTCACACCATTGACCTTAGTCAAGAGCCTTGGCCATTGATTCTGGGGACGGTCCTATCCATTTTGGTTTGCCAGTTTTAGATTCAGGTTATGCATTTTGGCAGGAACATGTAAGCAGCTTACATCTCAAACTCCAAAACTAAACATTGCCATCAAGTCCGTTCCAGCTCCTGGCACCATTTTGTGCACGGTGGTGGCTGCCCATGTGCAGTGGGTGATGACTGCACCAGAGCCACCTTCCCTGTGCCGATTTTGGCTTCACTGGGAAGGTGTTAGGTTCCAGCAGCCTACATCTGACTTCTTTCAGGGCAGAAATGAACCAACAGGAATGGACTATCTGCCGCTGCCTCTCACATGTTTGCCGCAGTCCTCACCGCTCCCTCTTGTCCCACACCACCCAGCAAATACATTTACTTGTTTGGCTCCCAGAGGCCTTGGAGTTTGAGACCATGGTTTTGTAAAAGCCAAGTATTGTGGCTGAGATGACAATTGGGGCATGAAGCTCTGTATTTATATCCCTCCCATTGTGCCCCAAAGTGTTTCCACAGAACTCCAAGTGTCTCAAATTCCTTAGAAAGGGTGTCTTAAGCTCCCGTCCTCCTGCACAGACTTGGAATCACTTTGTGGGCTGGGTAGGGAGGGGCCCCACTCTTCCCACCAGCCTGATCATCTGCTCCTGGACCCACCTCTCCCCTAAGCCTGAGAGCTCTCTGGGATAGAAGGGCTAGGTGGGACTAGGCAGGGCCCCCACTGCTCCCCAGAGCGGAGGCCTAGACATCTCACGTGTCCCTAAGGTGTGTACGTGGGCAGAGGCTGGGATGGGGGAGTCTGGCACCAGAGTCTCAACTGGCCTGAAGTCAAGAATGAGGAGATTGGCTTGTAAAAAGGCAGATTTCTGAGCCCTGCCCCTGGAGGCTGAATCAAGTCTGGGTGTGTCCCTGTGTTTTCAACAAGCACTCACACCCAGGCAACCTGGGAAACAATGGAGGCTCAGAACACAATCTCTATTCACAGCTTTATTACTGTTTGGGACATGAACATTCACACAGGTCCAGATACAACAGCGCAGAGCCTTCCCCTCTCCACAGACAGGCATGGTCACCTGTGCACACAACCCTGATCTTGCTGTTAGAGCAGACAGCCAAAAACGAAGGAGAGGCATTGCTCAGTGGGCAGCTCACAGCAGGATACCAGCAGGTTGGTGAGTCTCAGCACAGGAGGCCTACGGAACTCGGCACAACGCCTGGCGGTCGCTTCTCCATCTCCGAGGCGCCAGGCTCAGCCTCCTGAGATCCAGGCCCTAGGTCAGGCCGTCCCGTCCAGTCCGAGCGAGCGGTGACCGAGTCTGCCCTGCGCACACGGGTCTTGCTGTCTCACCACCCGCTGGGCTGGATGACCTCTGCGATGGGTTCTGTTCTGCGTTTGACAGCATCCCTCCCTCCACCCACCAGATGCGAGTAGCATTCCTTAGTCCTGACATGTAAAAATGTCTCCAGACACGGCAGAAAGTTCCCCAGTCAAACAAAATCCAGCAAACTACCAGAACACTGCCAGCAATTTGACTTTGACCCACGGCCACCCTACAGGACTAGTGAACTCCCTGTTAGGGTCCTTATGAGACGAGTGCCTCAGCTCTTTTCCCAAGGAGCGGCTTGTGGGTTTGAACTGCCGAACCGTTGCATGAAGCATCGGGGCACGAAGCTTCTTTGTATCCCTCCCACTGTGCTCCAAAGTGCTTCCACAGAACCCCAAGTGTCTCAGATTCCTTAGAAAGGGTGTCTTTTTAATTTTTTTTATTTTATTTTATTATTTTTGTGTGAGTGTACCGTCAGATCAGATCTGACTGGTACAGGAGAAGATTGTCCCTCCTTCCCCGGCAAAGCCTCTGGTGGATTTGAACCGTGCACCTCTGGGATTGTAGTTGCAGCTCCTTACCACTAGGCCACCAGAGCTCCCAGAAAGGGTGTCTTAAGCTCCCGTCCTCCTGCACAGACTTGGAATCACTTTGTGGGCTGGGTAGGGAGGGGCCCCACTCTTCCCACCAGCCTGATCATCTGCTCCTGGACCCACCTCTCCCCTAAGCCTGAGAGCTCTCTGGGATAGAAGGGCTAGGTGGGACCAGGCAGGGCCCCCACTGCTCCCCAGAGCGGAGGCCTGGACATCTCACGTGTCCCTAAGGTGTGTACGTGGGCAGAGGCCGGGATGGGGGAGTCTGGCACCAGAGTCTCAACTGGCCTGAAGTCAAGAATGAGGAGATTGGCTTGTAAAACACAGATTTCCGAGCCCTGCCCCTGGAGGCTGAGTCAAGTCTGGGTCACGATAACCGGCAGTGGTGACCCCACATGGCATAGGTCTTACACGGCTAGCCTCTAACCAGCAGGCAAGGTTCAAACCCAGCAGGGCCCAGGAGGATGAAGGTCAAGGTCATAGCTTCAGAGAGCTGCTGGAGGGTGGTCAGTTGGAACAACTCCATGACAGTGGACTTGGGCTTTTGAGTCACAGGACGAAACCTCGAGAACAGGGAGGCTGCCATGCCAGGGACACACAGCGCAGGCCCCACCGTCCGGAGTCCTAGCTGGCACCAATTCCGACGTCCTGCTCTTGATGACCCAAGCAGGCTGGTGCCAGGATGACACCTAAAACCCCCCTTCCCTAGTACAGGACCCACGGGTAACCTCATGGCACTCAGCCTGAACACATCAGTCCCCACCAAGTCCTCCAAACCCCGCTGTGAGCTCTCAGGAGGTCCATTTTACAGATGGGACAAGTGACATCATGTGCCCACGGTCCCACGGCTATTAAATCGCGATGCTCAACCCTGGCTTCACTCACATGAGCATCATCACCTGGAGAATGATTTGCAAAACCTCAACCTCACCCCAGACAGATTAAGTCAGAGGCTGGGTGTGGAGCCACCCGAAACCACCTACGTACTTCCCAGGTCTGGTGCCCCAGAATTAAAATGGGGACGTGGGGCAGATTTGAAGGGCTTAGGACCAAGCTTAGCTCTCTGAGATGCTCAGTAGACAGAACTGGAGGTGCTGCCCCCTCTATCCAGGTAAACCCCTGGCCTCCAAGGGGATGTCCTCAACTCCCTGTAGGGGTGTCCCCACACCCTGCCCTGGCCCCATTCACACCACAAGCTGCTATTTTATTCTCATGCACTCGGGAAGGGTGGAGGGAGGGAGGCAGTGAGAGGAGGGTCCCCACAGTGACCTGGAGGGACGTCCTGCCCCCACTGTCCACAGGAGCCAGTCCCTGAGCAGCAAGGTGTCCTTGGAGGGTGCGTCCAGATGGCTCTGATAAGACGTGGGCTGTGAAACTGAGGAGTTCAAAGGGGCCTGCCGGACTCTCTAAGGCAAGGACCCCCTCTCCGGTCCTGGCTGGAGCTCCTGGAACAGAGGAACCCCCCGAAAGTGGGTTTCGTTCTAGGCCAGGTGATACCTGAGTCCCGCCAACACTGGCAGGAGCCTGTCCCTCACCTGGTATTGGCTTTCCTCTTCCTCCTCCTCTTCCACCTCTGTCTTCTTGAATGAGCTCAAGGCCTCCTCCAGCACGCCATCAGGGTCTTGGATCTTGATCTGCAGGGAAACAGCGAGAGTGGGTTTGGGAGCCAAGGAAGCCAGTGCCTCCCCCAGCGTGTTGTCAGGGCCAAGCTGTGAGTACACCTGAAGGTCGTGAGCTCTGGGCTGCCAGCATCTCTGGGCATGCCAAGATGACACAAACAGCTCACTTGTCTGGCCCCCGGTGGGGTGTGGTAGATTGGGGGTGCCCCGTCTCTGGGTGTGGCCATCAGGTCATTGTCAGACAGGAGGGCTCCCCACCTGAGGAATGGGGAACTTGGTGGGTGCAGGGGCCTGTTCACGGCCAAAGTCGGTCATTGTGCCACACTTGGGCATGTCGTCCACCCAGAAGCCTTTGAACAGCTGGCCGTGGTCCAGGTGGAAGAAGCATCCTGGTCCGTTCTTCATGTCTTTCTGCCACTGGCCCTCATAGCGGTTCCCGTTCTCTAGGGAAAAGGTGTGGGTGTGGGTGCCAGGTACAATTGACCAGGCTAGGACCTGCCCCCCCCATCACCCACCAGGAGGCCAGAAAGACCATCGGGCTGGGGAGCAAAGGCTGGGCGGAGCTGGACGTGAAGGGCTGGTCTAGCAAGATGACAGCCCTGCATTTCCGGCAACTTCAGACTCACACCTAGTTCAGTTCTCATCTCAACCACTCTCCTGAGTCTAGGCAAACAATTCCTATTTCCTAGCTATTAAAAAAAAAAAAAAAGAACAAAGGCCTATAAAGTGACCAATATGACCAGGGAAGCACTCACTCCTTAGAGGGACTGACCACTGAAAGTCCGAGGGCAGCATGTGCCCGCGGATGGAGCCCTGAAGGCAAGAAGGGGTGGACAGCATGAATGACAATCGGTGCAGTACATTGTGGGTACTGTAATGAATGTTACAAAATAAAGTATCCATGAAAATCCAATCTACTCTGTTAAAGTTCACTCAAGTTACAATTTAAAAATAAAATATACAAAAAAAAATAAAATAAAATATACATATATATATTGCTATTGTTGTATACACATATATACATTGTCGCTGTTGTATACCATCAAGTCAGAACTGAGCCTACAGTGGATTTTCAGAGATCCTTCTCCTGCAGAGCAGCTGGTAGATTCAAACTGTGAACCTTTGGGGTGGCAGCCCTGATTCTTAACACTAGGCTACCAGAGCTCCTATATATATTATAGAAAGCAGCAGTAATATGTTCTTCAGTCCTTACTCTGTGCCTGGCTCTATGTTAGATCTCTGACTTCACTTACCCCTAACTAACAAATTCCCTGATGGACTATGAATTCTATTTTACAGACAGGGTTTGGGAGTTAATTGTTCCAAGTCACAAAGCAAGGAAAAGCAAGATCTTGAAGCCAAAACCCACTTATCCCAAATCATGCTGTCAATCACTAGCATTCCAGTTCTCAGCGGGTGGCGACGGTGTGAATAACAACTAACCTTTCTCAGCTCACAAACTTACTGCGTGACAGAAGGCAGGTCACCTAAACATTTTGTCTCATTTCTAAAAAAGAATCAGAGTAGAACACACCTTGTACATGTGTAAAGAATCAATCGATACACTTAGTTCTGGATAAGCTTTCAATCAGAGGTCAGCAAACTCTCCCCGGATAGAGCCAGCTTTGCAAGCCACACAGTCTGTCGCAACCACTCAGAGCTAGTATTGAAGTGTGAGAAAGCTCTAGAGACAAGAGAAATGTGAGCATGTGTGCCAATAAAACTTTATTTACACGTGAGAAGGGGGTTTGACTGGAGTGACAGAAATGTCTTGGAACTAAGTAGAGGTGGTGAGTGCACATCACTGTGAATATGTAAACAAAATTATTCTCTTTAAGATGGTTGATTTTATGTTATTTGAGTTTCATTTCCTAAGCTATGGAGTTTTTTTATTTTAATGAAAGTTTGCAGAGACTTTGGATTTCCATTCATATATTATTGCACATTTTCCTCCCTGCTCACCCCTCCCGCCAGATTGTTTTACTCTTTGAAGAGAAAAAATAAAAATTCTTTCATTGTTATATAATCCTCCTCACCAGTCCACTTTACTATGCAGCTCTTATTCTGGACTTTTGTCATGAAAATAATACCCAGTCATATATTCCCTTCAAACAGATCTGCCTCAGTGCAGTATACACTATCCATCCCCTCCCTTCTTAGATTCCTCCCAACCCTAATGTCAGTCCCATTTTACAACAGTGGCACTATGCAGTATTTGTCCTTTTGTGACTGAGATATTTCACCCAGCATAATGTCCTCCAGAGTCACCCATTCTGTATAATATTTCATGAGTTCCTTATTTTTCAATGCACCATAGTATTCCATTGGGTGAATATACCACAGTTCCTCTATCCATTCATTTGTTGATGGGCACTTGGGTTGTTTCCAACTCTTTGCTATTGCGAACAAAGCCGCAATAAACATGGGTGTGCGTATATCTGCTTGGGTGGCAGTTATGGTTTCTTTAGGGTATATTCCCAGTACTGGAATGAATTGCTGGGTCAAATGGTATTTCTATTTCCAACTTTTTGAGAAAGTGCCATACAGCCTTTCATAGTGGTTGCACCATTTTATGCTCCCACCAACAGTGAATAAAGGTTCCAGTTTCTCCACAACCTCAGAATTTTGCTATTCTTACTGGGGTGAGATGGTATCTCATAGTTGTTTTGAAGCCATTTTTTTTTAGGATCCATTTTACGATATTCAGCTTTGAGAAGCTATTCTTTTGAAAAAACAACCAACCAGTACCTTTATTTACAAAACAAGCTCATCCCAAGAGCTTTGGTTTGCTAACTCCTGCTCTTTAAGTACAAGCTAATATTGGCACAGGATAGAGCAGGGTTTAGGGCTTTTGTACATAGGGTTGCTATGAGTCGCAAACGACTTGACGGCACATAACAACAACAACAACAACAATATCACAGCGCATTTATTGAGTCTTCATACTAAGCATTTTACATACATAAATGAAACTTTTAAAAAGTTTTAGTTTTATTCTTTTTTTTTAATTTTTTAATTATTTTTGTGTGAGTGTACCGTCAAATCAGATCTGACTGGTACAGGAGGAGATTGTCCCTCCTTCCCCGGCAGAGCATCTGGTAAATTCGAACTGTGCGCCTCTGGGATTGTAGTTGCAGCTCCTTGCCACTAGGCCACCAGAGCTCCCCTAGTTTTATTCTTATGTACAGGCACAGAGGGTTTAAGCAAATGTCCCAAGGTCTTGCAGTGAGTAAGTAGTCAAGGCAGGATTTTGACTCTCTCACCACCTCTTCCTGTTTCCTATTTTCCTTACTACCGTCAATTCCCCCAGGCTGTGCGGCCTTGGGCAGTTGTCCTAACAGCTCTGAGGCTCAGTTCATTTGTAAAGTGGAAATAAGTAGATACTGCCCATCCAGTTTCCATTCTGTCTTTACAGGAGGCTGAGGCCTAGCCTTCTGAAGAGCTGCAGGTGGAATAGAATTGCCCCACATACTAGGCCCTAGGGCACTTGAAGGATTCTTGGTGGAGGACTGGTCGATATAACGAAAGTGCTCAGTGTTATTATATAAATGGAAGCTATGAGGATGATGATGATGATGTTGGATTGTGTCGAGTCAAGCGTGACTCTAAGAACAAAAGACCTGATGCCTTTTCCATAACTATCCTCGTTTCTCCAAGTTCATAGTGTTTCCAGAGGCATGTGGTTTAGGAAGTGGATGCCACTCCTGCTTCCAAACCTGTTTTACAACTGGGAGCTCCACCAAACACTGCCCACAATAGGAAACCATTCTGCTATTTGATACCCCAGTGGCACAAGGCTCAGCATCACAGCAAACCCAGGTTACGTCATACAGCACATCGACAAAGAGGAATGTGCAGAGTGGAAGAGTGTTCCTCCAGGTAGAACAGCACTAGTCCCAGCAGTGGTTAAGTGTCGTCAAGTCGAAAATGACTTATACTGATCTTTGCACAAAAGACCTGAGCTCTGTTCTATAACTAACATCATTTCTATACGTTTATAGCGTTTACAGAGTTTCCAGAGGCATCTAGTTTAGGAAGCGGATGCCACTCCTGCTTCCCAACCTGAGTAAATCTGGAAGCTCCTCCAAACACTGTCCATGATGGGTGACCATTACGGTACTTGACACGACTGTGGCACAGTGTTCAGCATCACAGCACGTCCAAATTGTTCAGTCCAGAATATTCATTCCAAAAGTAATAAATGTGTATAATAAAATGACGGGATTTTAAAGACACATCCTTTAGCAAGATGATGTAGGCTTAAGAAGTCTAAGACAACAATGAACGGGGTCTGTTTTATGTATTTATCAGTGGTGGTGGTTGTGTACTATTACGTCGGAACTGACCCATTAGCTGACCCTCCAGGGGGTTTCCAGAGGCTGTAAATCGTAGGGGGGCGGGGAGAAGATTGCTTATCTTTTTCTGTGGAGCAGCTGGTGGCCAACTGCTAAGAAATTGTGCTGTAAACCCGAAAGCCTGAAGTTCGAATCCAGCATCTGCTCCACGGGAGACTTAGGAAAACCCGAAGGAGGCTCAGCGCTGAGTTCCGACCCATAGCACATAAAATGCTTGAGAAAAGGGATTTGGTCTCTTTCGGGCCTGGATGGTGGGGCACAGGGAGGCTAGGTGGACACTCTGAAGGGTGTGGCCAGGAGGCAGTGACCAGGAGGCGGCGGGCATGGCCAGGAGGAAGGTAGGGGTGGGGCGGGGGCGGGATGGACAGGTCACTCACTCAGACGCAGCATGCCCTCCCCGTGGCGTCTGTCCTCCAGCCACTGTCCCTCGTAGATGTCCCCGTTCTTGTAGTACATGCGGCCCCAGCCGCAGCGCTGGTTTTGACACCACTCCCCCTCGTAATATTCTGTAGTTCCATAAAACTGGGTCCCATAGCCCTGCAAGGACGCAGGTGTCCCTGTTAACGACACGTGTCCACACTCGCACCCCTACTGACCCCATCATCCTCCCAGGCCCCAGAGCAGACATCTGGGATTCCTCTTGGCTTCCATCCTGGCCCCACAGACAAGCAGCTGGGCCCTGGAACCTCACTGTCCCGTCTCTTCCTCCCCTCTGCTCTGCAGTCCACCTGTTGTCCCTCGCTGGTCGCCTGCCTCCCCTCTCGCATCCCCTACTCATGGACACAGCTGACAAGAAGCGCTTAGAACGCTCATCGGATCACTCCCAGCTGTAATTCTAACTCTGTTAAGGGTTTTGACTCTTTTCTGGAACTCTTGGCGGCAGGGCCCAGAGAGTGTTGTCCTGCTATCCAAAACCACGAGCTACCCCGCGGGAGAAGGACGGGCAGTTTTCTTAGGTTAAGATTTGCAGCCTCAGAGACCCGATGGAGGGTGGCTGTGAGTGGGAGCCCACAAAGGCAAGGAGTGATGGGTTATTACAACAGGATGGCCTGACAAAGGGCCCAGAACAACGGCCTGAAGCACAGTGGAGATTGGAAGGCTAGTGCAGCATGGGTGACGGCACAGGACGGAATGAGGTTACAATCTGTTGTTTGTAGGGTCACTGATTCACAGCCTACTTGATGGCACATAACACCACTAACACCATGAGTCAGAGAAGAGCTATCCTGCTTGGTTTCCAAGGCCTTATTCTGTACCCAAGCAGACAGCTGCATATTTCTCCAGAGGATCGACTGGTAGTCTCGAACTGCTGACCTTGGAGTTAGCAGCCAAGTGCTTCTGAAATGCTAGGTAATGCCGCTTACCAGCGTGTGACTGCAGGGGCAAAACACTTCCCCTCTCTGAGCTGGTTTCTGCATCAGTAACATAAGGAGGAGGTTGATGATGTGAAAATTAGAAGCACCATATATCCTGGTCTCAGCTCACCAGAGTAGTTGCTCAACAAATACTGATCATTATCTGTTTAAATAATGTATAAGTAAGTTTTCTCTTTCTCCCTGGCACATGGCAGGAGTTCTTAGAATTTGTGAAGATGTCTTGATGAAATCTGTCCCTAATTTGGGTGTGTAGGGTGAGGACTCCTCTCTGGCCGTGCTCCCTCTCTCATCTTCCAGTCAAGCTGGGGGGTCTCTGTCTCCTAATTCCCACTTTGCTTGTCACGCCCCCCCCCTTTTTTAATCCAGGTTGAACAGAAGGGGAATTCTCATATTCTGGAAATGAAAGCCAGGAAGTGAGTGGGGAAGAGGGTGGGGGGAGGCTTTGCCCCACAAGCTTGGGGTGGCTTCAAGAGCACCTCCCAGCCCTCTCACTTCCTGTTTCCTGGGGTTTTGTTCTGAGAGGCCTCAACAACCCTCCCACCCCTTCCTTCTCCCACCCACAACCCTGTCCTCCACCCTCAGACACACACAGACACACAGACACACACACACACACACACACACGATGGGAGCCACTCACCGACTTCTTATTATCTGCCCACCAGCCTGCAGACACACACACACACAGACACACACACACGATGGGAGCCACTCACCGATTTCTTATTATCTGCCCACCAGCCTGAGTAAACTCTCCTGTATTTTCCCGTCTCTGGGTTAGGAAGACTGAGGGTACCATAGCCTTCTCGCTTCCCTAACTTCCAGTCCCCCTCATAGATGGCTCCATTCTTCTTCCAGATCTGCATTCCTTTTCCTGGGGACACACAGAGGCCGCCATTGCCAACGTGGCCGTCACGAGGTGGGGGTAGGGAATTCCACAGCGGGTCTCCTACTTTTAACATTAGATGACTCTCGGGCCTGGGGAAGGGGGTGAGGGCAAAGTGTATGTTTATAGACTCCCTGCGCCTCAAGAAAACCAAATCCACTCCTCGGAGTCAAGGCTGATTGTCAGGACCCAGGCAGGACAGAGCATAACTTCCTCACAGGGTTTCCACAGTGGAATCTTTCCAGAAGCTTCTCTGCTCCCAAGGACAGCCCAACATTTAACCCACTAAAGCACCTGAGTCCTTCTCTGGACCCTTCGTCCCCTAAGCAAATGACCCTCCATAGGCTCAGCGTCCACTCACGGAGACCCTGCAGCCAGAGGGGGACTGCCCCTTGGAATTGCTGAGGCTGTAATCTTTCTGGTGGTGTTGTGACCCATCGCTGACCTTCCAGTGGGTTTTCAGAGACTTTAAATCACACAGAAGGACACTGTCCATTTCTCTTCTACAGAGCAACTGGGCCTGATCCAGGCCATGATCTTAATCACTTGCTATGCATCTAAGAGCTGGACACTGACCAAAGACAACAGAATGAATGCCTTTGAGCTACGGTGCTGGGTCTGTCCTGGAGAGGGTCAAACCAAGCTGCTCCTTTGGAAGAAAGCATTTCGAAGCTCCTCCATCTCACATACTTTGTGCAGGTGGCCAGAAGGGACCAGTCCTTGGACATCATGCTTGGAAGGATGAAGGGACAGCCCAGGAGAGGAAGACCCCGGATGAGGTGGCTTGACTTGAAGCCAAGGCCTTGAACTCCAAAGTTTGTGGTCTTAAAACAGTGACACACATGTGCGGGAACGGGAAAACCAGCCTTTCAGCAAGTAGGAAGGCCACTCATACATCAAGCCTCCTCGGTACATTCCCGCTGCCCTGGGATACGCCATGAGTCGGGGGGGAGCTTCTTGTCCCCTTTCCCATTGCTAAGAAAACTTCGAACAAGATCCACAGCGTGACCCCAGGGGTGCCCGAGGGGAAAAGTCCTGTAATTTCCTCATCAGGGCGCCTGGAACGTTCACCTTCTCCCAGACGGTGGTCAGCAGCCAGGTAATTCAGTCCTCAGTGCCTCCAGGAGCGGGCGTGTGGAAGATCTCCTTGACTGGACATTTCTTCGGGCTCCCCTCACGAAGACCCCAAGGGCTTGTGTTCTCCTCTCTCATGGTGGGGCTGAGCCAGCCTCACTGGTGTCTCCAGCAGCTTCTCCACCCTCAATCCGGGCCCAGAGGAGCCCAGGCTGGGCCAATCAGAGCCCTGGACCGGGATCTTTGAAAACAGGAAGTTATTCTGCTGTGGAGGGCCATCGAGTTGCTTCCCATTCATAATAATCTCACGTGATGTTGTAAAACTGCCTCATAGAGTTTCCTAGACTAGATAGATTACCAGGTCTTTGCTCCCCTGGGATACACCTGGTGGATTTGAATATCCAACCTTTTGGTTACCAGCCAAGCACTCAGGCTATGTACGGCTCTGTAATACAGCCTCTATATAGACACCCAAGAGAAATGGATCTGAGGCGGCTCAGAGCTCTCGTTCAGCCTTCCTTCACAGGCAGGGAGGGGGAGAGCTACGCAAGCCAGAATGGGTACTCCCGGTCCAGGGCTCGCTCACCCACCTGCAGCCCCAAGGCCCCGGAGAACACACTGAGAGCTGAGAACAGCCCCACACACCTGCAGGTGAGTGCTGAGAGCAGCTGCTGTGTCACATACTAGGAGCAGCTGGCTTCAGACAGCCGCTAAACGCTGCTCCAATGGCTCATCCCACAAGTACCCCTTCCGGACCAGCCTCTGGGCTCCGTCAATGTCACATCTCGTATCCTTACACACAGACGTTATTCCCATTTTATAGCTGAGGATCACCTAAGCGACCTAGTTAAGATGGGAGTTGATGTTCCGGGATCCCAGCCCTGGTTTCACCCAGCTTGATACACCATCGGAGTGGCTTGAAAGCACAGAATCTGGAATTGAGAGATTACAGTGAGGAGCTTTGGAATGAAAGCTCCTCCTCGGGGGGTTTCCTGTTTTGTGTTGTTTTTAAAAGAGTTGTTTTGATACCAGGGAGCCCTGGTGTGTGAAGTGCTGATGTGATAACAGGAAGATGAGCAGTTGGAACTCTCCGGCCGCTCCTGGCAGGAAAATGGGTAGACTCTTCAGCTAACGGTTGGAAACCTGACGAAAGGTCCTCATGCGTGGGAACCGACACCACAACTGGAGTTTTAGGTTGGGTTTTAGCTTTGTGGTTTGGAGGCCAGGACCCCCCTTCACGCCCTGTGGCCAGACTCTTGAGTTCAACTCTTATCAAGTAGGAGCAGGGCTCTTTCTGGGCCCTCCCTTGCCCCCTGCTGGTCAGCTATCTTCAAAACAGAAGTATGAGCCCAGAATTCCAAGTACAAGAGGGTTTCTGGGGGACTGCCTCCTTCCGAGGCTAACAGACTCAGGGCCTCAGTGGGTCAGGCCTGAGCTGGGCAGGCCAGACTTGTGGAGACCCCTGACCTCTGCTGGTCCCAGGAGGCCTCTCTTTAGTCTTGAGTCAGGCTGTTTGGGCGCCCCTGACTGGACAGGGTCAGTGCCACATGTACACCCCGGGGGTTGTTGCAGGCTGCTTTCCCGGCCCCAGTGTCCACGTAGGTTCAGACTCCACACTCCCCAAGCCCTCAGGGTCCCCAGCTCACCGTGCTTCATGTTATTTGTCCACTCGCCCGTGTAGCAGTCACCGTTGATGGCGTATACCTGATGCCTCAGCCCGTTCTTCTGGGCCTTCTGGTCCCACTCCTTCCACAGGGGCTGTGACCTCGGGGGACACCTGCCGACGCTCATGCTGGCTGTTGCGGTGGGATCCTGCAGGGGTGCCGGCCAGGGAGTGGGGAGATCAGAGACCCTGTGCATTCTGTACTGTGTCCAGGATCCCAAAGCTGTCCTAACAGGTATCCGTGTGAGCTTAAGAGACACGGGTCATGTGTGTGTTCCAAGTCCGGGGGCAGATGAGCAGCCCTTGGTGGGGACCCGCTGTGCTGGACTGACGCTTGGCTGTCCCCTCCTTTGCTTCCTCCCAGGCCTCCCCTCCAAGGGGGCTGAGGGCACAATCATTGGAAGGCAGGGGTTTATGATGGCATCAGGAATAACTACCCAGGGGTGGTGGTCACTGACTGACTGACCAGCATAACCTGCTGGAGCAATGAGTAGCCCAGGAAGCGGGGCTGGGCCATGGGACCATTCGGTGCCACACCCAGGCTCCAAGCCATGCCGGGCCACCAGAAAGCTGGCCACGGTACAGCTCATGGAGATGCCTGGGCCAGCACCCAGCACCTAGCTCCTGTGTCACCTGCCTGGCAGATGGGAAGGTGGTAAGAGCACAGGAACTGGTGTTGCAGGGGTTCTGAGCTTTTGGGAAGAGCCCAGTCAACCAAACATTCTAGTGATAGGGTGGCCAGCTATCCTGATGTGCCTGGGGCTGGGATGGGGAAGGGCGGGTGTGTGTGTGTGTGTGTGTGTGTGTGTGTGTCCTGCAATCTTGAACTTTCTCTGCTAAACACAGGGAAACCCAGGCACCCCTGGATGGTTGATCACCTTTCTACCTCTGATCTCCTGGGTCTCTCCCCGAGAGCTGGTGGATTCGAACCTCTAACCTCTCACTTAGTGGACAGCTAGGTTACGCAGCTTCGGCACTGTTAAGGACACTCTGACAGGAATGCCGTTCTCAGGTGCAACTGAATACCTTGGAGACAGGAGTTGAACTCCAGAGGAGGCTGAGGCCTGAATACAAAAGCGAGGAGAGTCTGACCTCTCCAGGTTAAACAAACGGTAGTATCAATAGTTGTTGTTGATTGCCTTCAAGTCGAGCACGACGCATAGAGACCCTATGAACAAACATTTACCAAAGTTCATAGAGTTTCCGGAGGCATGTTGTTTAGGAAGTGGAGGCCACTCCTGCTTCTAATAATTGTAATCAATAATTACAGTAACAGCAATGACAAGCGCGGGAGGAAGCCCCCCGCGCCCCCTGAGCTCACCTGTGCAGGGCCCGGGACCCGGGGCGCGCGTGGTGACCGCGCTGCAGCCGCGTCTTCGGCAGCGCGCGCTGCATCCCCGGCCAGGGTCGCTATGGCAACAGGCGTTCGAGCCCGCCCCTTCCGCCCGGAGGGCGTGCAACCAGCCTCCAAGGGCGGGAAGGGGCGGCTGGGGGCCTGGAGGTCGGCCGCTCTGGGGCCGGGTGGCTGAAGGCCTGTGGGCGAACCCAGGACACCCCTCAAACTCCACGGGGGTTCCCGAGACAAGCGGCTGCATTTAAAGGGGCAACGAACTTTGTGGCAAACTGTCAACCCTGAGTCCTTGGAGGACACGTACCGATTGCTATCAAGTGAATTCTGACTCGTAGGGACCCCCTGTGACAGGGTAGGACCCCACAGAGCTCCCCCAAGGTTGTCGTCTTCCCAGAAGCCTCCTCTTTCTCCAGAAGCAGAGGCGCTTTGAAAGACATGTTTACATATATACAAGGCCACTCCAGTTACTGCTCCCGCAGAATACAGCTCCCACGAAGGCTTTCCGAGGCTGTGCGTCTCTGCAGAAGCGGGCAGCCACTTCCTCATGACCACACCGACATCCACGTCCCTCCTGATCCCTGGTGTGAGAAGCCCAGTGTTTCCAGCACAGCGCCACCGGAGCTGCTCTTCACACTTTCAGTAATGCCTCGTCTGACCTCCCAGAGGCTCCCTGGGACCTCTGACCTCCTCTGGGTTGGCACGCTAATGCTTTAACTAGCTGGCCACCAGGACTCATTGTGGCGTGCCTGGACCTCTCTGTCATGAGCTTTAGAAGAGACCATGGAAAGACTGGTCTCAGGGACTTTGGCCTGTCCTTGGAGAAGGACATCATGCCTGCAGACAGCAAAAAAGGGGAAGACCCTCAACAAGGTGGGTTAACACAGCTACAGCGATGGACTCAAACACAGCAGAGATCTGAGGATGGGACAGCACTGGGCAGGGCTTCATTCTGCTTCCACAAGGTCCCCAAGAGCAGAAACCACCTTCTGGGCACCTAACAACAACGACATGTCCTATCAGTGAAAACTTGTCTTATTTTTCCTTTTCTATCTTCCCGATTTTTTAGCATAATGTTTTCCAGGTTCATGAGATAGCAAAACTTCATTTCTCACCCGTAATTATACATGCACCTGAACCAGGCCATGGTCTTCACAATTACTTGCTGTGGGAGAGCTGGACAATGACTAAGGATGACAGAATAGGAATCTATGCCTTCGAGTTGTGCTGGAGAAGCGTATGGAATATACCATGGACTGCTAAGAAAACAAACAGGTCTGTCCTGGAGAGGGTGAAACCCAGCTGCTCCTTGGAGGTAAGGATTTCTAAGCTCCGTCTGACATACTTTGGGAATATCCCAAGGAGGGGACCCATCCTTGGAGAGGGACATGATGCTTGGAGAGGTGGAGAGGCAGTGCAAGAGAGGAAGACCCTTGATGAGATGGATTGACTGGGGTAGTGGGGGTGGGTTTGTCTGAGACGATGAAATTGGCTGAAGGTAGAGCAGGGTTTGGAACTGTCCTACACGGGGTCACTGTGAACCTGTTGAGTTGACTCGGCACATAACAATACCTCTTACAGCTGCTTCCCAGTCTCAGTCTTGATATATACGCTCTTTAGCACTTACACACATGTACACAAATATTGTGTATAATAAAAGCCAGGATTATTCTGGGATGGGGCCTTCCCCCAGTAGCAATTCTATCTTTTGCCCCAAACAATTCTCTGTGCTTTTCTGGGCTATGTTGCCATCATCCAGCACAGGCCTGCTCTTAAACTGAACTCAGTATTTGTTGAACCGTTCAGTGTTCTGGGTCTTGACACCCTTCTCCCCAATCCTTCTAGGCCCTTTTCTTGTTTTGCGTGGCTACATTTCACAGGCCATGTGGTCAGTTGACTTCTGGCTGCTGCATTCAGCCCATGGGAGACCAAACTTCAGGAGATTCCCAAGAGTAGGTTTTCCAGAAATGATAGGCAGGGCTGCATAGATCAGAAATCTCTGCTGCATTTACTAGTTAAAAGGTGGAAACATCCTGGATGTCCCTCACGGGGTGATGGGATAGACACAATCGATGGAACTTTGTTGGGGTTTTCTGCTGTCTTCACACAGACCGTGGCTCATAGTAGCCTCATGCAACAGAACAGAATGCTGGCCAGTCCTGTGGCATCCAGAGAACCTCTGCTGTGTGTAAACCCACTGTCGTCAGCCGTCCATTGAGGGTCTTCCTCTCTTCCCCTGACCCTCTACTTTTCCAAGCATGATGTCCTTCTCCAGGGATTGACCCCTCCTGATGTTGTTGTGTACTGTAGAGTGGGATCTGACCCATAGCTGACCCTCCATGGGTTTTCAGAGGCAGTTAATCGCATGGGAGGAGATTGCCCATCTTTATCCTGTGGAGCAACTGGTGGGCTTGAACTGTGTGCCTTTGGGCTTGCAACATAGCTTCTTGCCACCAGGCAAGATAACATGCCAGAGTATCTGAGATGAAGCTTCACCATGCTCTTCTAAAGAGCATTCTGGCTGCACTTTTTCCAAGGCTGATTTGTTTGTACTTTTGGCCATCGATGGTCTATCTTCATACTCTTCACCAGCAGCACGAGTGAAAAGATCAGTCCTCCAGTTGTCTCTCTGTATTGCCTCACATTCAAATGTATGTCTAAAACAGTTGAAAAATGAGGGAGCTCTGGTGGCCTAGTGGCAAGAAGCTGCACTGTAATTGTGAAGGTGTGCGGTTCAAATCCACCAGATGCTCTGCTGGAGAAAGAGGAGCAAATGGGTCAGACACACCTTAGTCTTTAAACTGATATCCTTGCTCTTTAGCATTCTAAAGATGTCCTTGGGGGATTTGCCCATTGCACTATGTTGTTTGATTTCTTGACTGCTGCTTCTATGGGTGTCCATTATGGACTAAGTAAAATAAAATCCGTGACAACGTGAATCTTTTCTCCCTGTATCATAATATTATTTATTGCCTCAGTTGTGACAGTTTTTGTTTTCTGCATGTTCGGATGTAGTCTATACTGAAGGCTATGCAGTCTTTGTGCTTCACCAATAAATGAACTAATATTTGGCCTTAAAAAGCAATGAAGTATTGATACTTGCTACAGTCTCAGTGAACTGTGACAGTGTTATGCTAAGCCAAAGAAGGCAGTCATAAAATCCCACATAGTATTTTCTTTATTTTATTCTTTATTGATATTTTAATGAAAGTTTATAGAAAACTTGGATTTCCATTCACTCATTGTTGCACAGTTTCTTCCCTACTCCTACCTCCAGCCCACTTTTTATGCACCTCTTATTCTGGACTATTGTCATGCAAGTAATACCTAATCATATATTCTCTTTATAAAATCATATATTCTCTTTTTATCAAGATTTTAATGACAGTTTATAGAGAACTTGCATTTCCATTCATTCATTGTTGCACATTTTCCTTCCTACCCCCCCCCAGTTTGCTTTTCTTTTTGAAAAAAAAATTATTTCATTACTGTACAATTCCCTACCCCTGCCCCAGTCTACTTTACTGTGTAGCTCTTATTCTGCACTGTTGTCATACCAATAATACCTAATCATATATTCCTCTTAAGCAGTTCTGTCCCTCATCTGTTTCAGTGCAGTTTTCAAGATTTATCCCCTCTTTTCTTAGTTTTCCCCAACCCCAATGTCAGTCCTGTTTTACAACAGTGGCATTATGCAGTATTTGTCCTTTTGTGACTGAGATATTTCATTCAGCATAATGTCCACCAGGGTCACCCATTCTGTGTAATATTTCATGAGTT